TCTGTGATTCTATGTGTGCATGAAGAAAGAGGCCGTCATGTCAGGTATCAACTCTATATCACATTGTCAGAAGAGCAGTCACAACTAGGCCACAGGAGAAATTTTCAGTATAATTCTAAAAAACAAACCAAAACAAAAAAGAAACCAGGAGAAAACCAACATGTAGTTAGGTTTCCAGAAAATGTGTCCTTTAGCAACATTACAGGAGTCTACTAACTAAAATTCTACCAAAAGTTTTTCTTCTCAGGCCATGTATCACCACTTCATTATTAGAAATGCTGAATGTTGTTGGTCTGTGTTTTGAGGAAGAGTAAGATAGAATAGTCAATAACCTTTGAAAAAATGTAAAAATTATACATATATGGACATAACAGATGGAGATGTAAGAGGAGTTTTGAATTATTACGGAAACTTATTTGCTAAGCATGACAAAAGCATTTAAGTTTTGCATTTAAAAAATAATATCACTCTTACGTCATTTCATAGAAAGTTGGAAACTGCACTCAAAAACACCATTGCTAAATAATATAAGCACTTATTTTGCAGTGTGTATTTTTTTCTTCTGTGATGGAAGAGAAAGGGATAGGAACAAGAATCTTAGTTTGGTTTCTTTTTGAGCCATTTGGTTCTGGCTTTTTACAGATAATGATAGATATAGATTTTTAGAGATATATTTTATAGATATAGATTTATAGATATTAGCTGGAAAATGTGATAAATTCAGAGGAAGGGAATAGGTTGTAAGAACTTTGAATCAGTGATAGAAAATCCATTATTCTCTGTGTATGATCAGCATATAAGCACTGCTTTTTAAAGGTTAGTAGTTGTTACGGTTTGTCCTCAGAATCTTAATTACGAAAAATAACAAATTTGGCATGGGTAATTGTATCATTGTTAATTGTAATTCACATTTCAAAAGTGCAGGAACACATATACAGATAGCTGAAAACTTCTCATACCAAATTACGCTTTTTTTCTCCAGATTAATTAAATGAGTGCTCTTTAACTCTCTTCGTGATCAGCTATAATCAGACCTTTCATTTCATCTTCAGGCTTATGCTTTCCTGAGTGATGCTACTTTCATTAAATTCCCTTTCTTTTTCTTGCATCTAAATTGTTTCTTTTCATTCATTAACAAACTGTGCATGAACATTTGTTGTCCATATGACATTGTGATAATAGAAGTCTTGCAAACTGAAATAGCTGTGTGTTTTCCCACTCCTGAGGGATGGAAAACTTGTCAGTTGAAATATAACAGGCTGCTTTTGCCAAGTTTTCTGGTTACAACTGAATAGGAGTATCTGTGAAATTAAGTAATGTTTTCATACTTGGTGGTTGTTGAAAAAAAAAGAGAGAGCTAGCTGATGGAGCAGTCTAAATATAAAAGCATATTAGCAGTGCGTTCCTCTGTTTGGATCACTGCAGTTTCTGTCTCTTTTGGCATAGCTCCAGGAACAACTATGAGCATGACAGGGTCCTTGACTTAGCTGTCTTCTTGCACACATGCTGGTGTACCTAACTTAGCTGGTGTACTGTCTTGTGCAGTTTGCTATGCATATGGTCAGTAAGGGGGAATTACAAAGACAGCTTCTGGGATGGGACTGCTGTGTGCTCAGTTGCCTCAAAATGTCCTTTCTCTCAACCTGAGGAATCCTCCTAGATTAAGGTTTTTGACCAGGCTGCAGGAAACCATTATCTTAGCCACGTCTGTTGACCAAGTTCAGAACAACAGTGCTGCACACGTGCAGTGCAAGCTGGACAGCTTGTGTGCATAAACCCCTCTCGGGGATGCTCTCAAAGGAAGTGTTTTCCTTTTGTCTACCACTGCTCTCACCTACTTTGTTGCACCTGTTCCTGCTTCCACGGGGAACCAAACTGGACGTGCAGAGCTGTGTTTGGGCAGTCCGCTCCTGATGCCCTGCAGCCCCATGGGGTGAACATCTTTGCTCCCGTTTGAGAGCTTCCATGAAGGCAGGCCCCTGTAGCAACCAGCCAGCTTAGGCAGCTCCTCACAGAAGGAAGACAAAGGCACCAAACCAACATTTAATATTCGTATCACTTATTTTGCACTGGAATGGGATAGATTTTATTTTTCAGCTACCTGAGCATCCTGGGAGACTTGCAAGATCCGGCAGCATCTGGAGATATTAACAGGCCATAACTCATTTCCCACATCAATTTCATATCCAGAGAACACAAAACTGGTTTTTAGACATTTTAGTATGTTAAAGTCAGACTTCAATAAATAGCACTTCCCTCAAGAGCGTGGGCTGGGCTAAAACCTGTGTCCTTGTGTCAAAAGCCTGACGTCCAAAGCAGCGTTTGCCAGGAAGCGGAAAACCGCGAGAGCGCATATTAAAGCAGCCCACGGGAAGGATGCGAGGCTCACAGAAGCCCAGGGGTGGAAGCGGCGTCCCTGGGGCCAGCGAGAGCAGCGCTGGGGCCCTGCAGGCGCCCCGAGCCCGGCCCCGCCCCTTGCCC